TATATTTTATTGATTTTTTACAGAGAGGAAGGGAGAGGGATAGAGAGTTAGAAACATCGATGAGAGAGAAACACCGATCAGCTGCCTCCTGCACATCCCCCACTGGGGATGTGCCCGCAACCAAGGAACATGCCCCTGACCGGAATCGAACCTGGGACCCTTGAGTCCTCAGGCCGATGCTCTATCCTCTGAGCCAAACCGATCAGGGCTATTTTTTTTTAATATATCCTATATAATAAAAGGCTAATAATATGCAAATTGACCAAACTGCGGAACAACTGATTGCTATGATGCACACTAACCACTAGGGGGCAGGCTCTCAACACAGGAGCTGCCCTCTGCTGGTCAGTGTGCTCCCACAGGGGGAGTGCTGCTCAGCCAGAAGCCAGGCTCACAGCTGGCCTGCCAGCGGCAGTGGCAGGAGCCTCTGGCCTAAGCCGGCAGTCGGACATCCCCCAAGGGCTCTCGGACTGTGAGCGGGCTCCTGGACTGCAAATCTCGTGCACTGGACCTCTAGTATTTTTTATATATTTCAGAGAGGAAGAGAAAGGGAGAGAAATAGAAACATTAGCGATGAGAGAGAATCATTAATCAGCTGCCTCCTGCATGCCCCCCACTGGGGATGGAGCCCACAACCCGGGCATGTGCCCTGACCGGGAATTAAACCCTAACCTCCTGGTTAATAGGTCAACGCTCAACCACTGAGCCAGGCTGGCTGGGCTGTCAAAGCTCCTTTAAAGCAGGAACTGTGCCCAGTTGTGTCTGTATCCCCCACTATCATGTAGTGATTCCTCAGTAAATATTTTTGAGTGAGTCAATATGAATACTTTCCTCTGTAGAATAACCCTTTAGAATCTTCAAGGGACTAAATTTTTTCAAGGTTTCACTTACAAAGTTAGTGATTTTGTGAAAAGAAAAGTCAATACTGATATACTAAATTGCATGAGCTTTTGTGACCCGGTCTCTAAAGAAGGAAAAGCTCAAAAGAGGCACAGATACTACATTTTGCTGAACTCCAACAACAGTCCCGGATACATCTGTTATCTCCTGTAACTCTCACTACAACCTGGTGAGGTAGGCATTATTCCCCCATTTGACAAATGAGGAAACTGAGGTTTAAGAGGTGTGTTGGCCATGGTTCAAGAGTTTGGTAAAATGTTGAGTAAGGATTCAAATTCAGGCAGGAATGACTCTACAGCAGAAACTCCACTGTACCACTAATGAGAGAAGAAGCTGAGTGTGTATGTAAGAAGCAGGCTAGCACAAGGAACTAATGCATAAAGCAGAATTCCAATTAACTGGGAGTGAGAAACACAGTGATCAAGTGGCCTATAACAGATGGGCCAGACATGCCTTTTGATAGGAGAGCCTCCATGAAAAGCCAAGTTATCTTCTGAAGGTGGTTAGGGCAGCTGGAATCTGAGCCAAAAGGAACCAATGAAAATATAAGTCACTGAACTGGCTCCATGCAGAGCAAACCTGCTGGTCAGTGTTCTGGATTCTTCCTTTTTTCTTTCATTCAGTAAATATTTATTGACTATCTAGTACGCACCAGACACTGTCCTGGGCTCTGGAAATCCAGCCAGTAAAGCTTCCAGTTCAGTGGGTCATGGCCCAGTGACTCTGGCTGAGTTTATTCCTCCCCTCCCCTATGTCTAGTAGTTTGGGTTCAGTAAGGACCTCTACTTCCTGTTGCCATACTCTCTGTACTCTTGCATCAGCCATGCTGAGGCCACTGATTGACCAAAGTTTTATTATTCCTCAATCACATTCCAGTCCTGAAGCTACTGTCTACATTGCATTTGAAATGTTTTTGGTTTCCTCCTCTTCAGACACTCTCTCAGATTTTAACTCTAATGGAAGTCTCTTCTGTTTTGTATTCATTCTTTCTGAATTAATTTTATAATCCCAAATTATTTGCTATAATGACTTATCACCCATATGTAATTTTCTAAACTCTTCTCATTGTTCTCAACACACTCCCCCCTACCATCTCAGAATACAATTCCTGCCTTGGGGGAGCTTTCAGGAAAAAAGCCCAACTCCTTCAGGTTTAATAAAGCCAAAGCGGACTCACCCTCTGTGGCTCATTCACACATTCATCCATTCAATCACTCATTAAGCAGTCATTGTGGTAGATGCTGAGGGAGGTCCTCCTGCGCTGACAGGTGCTGAGCTGAGGAGCTACACAATTAAAATTGAAATTGTCCCCTGGAGTTGTGCACCAGGAGGCAGAACAAACAGACTCTGAATCAGAGCCAACTATCTCTTAAGAGCACTGCCCAGGAGTCCTAGTTTTTAGCTATATGACTGAAAGAGAATTCTTTTTTCAGCTCTTAGAACCTGTTTTCTCATCTGTAAAACAAAGGAATTGGAAATTAGCTCTAGCCACTGTGGAGAGGAATAGGCAATGCATATAATTCGGTTTAATTGATTATATACTGGGGACAGAAACCAGGTTTCAAAAAACTCACCGCTCTTAATAAAAACAAATCAAATACAAAAACTGACCAGCTGGGTGCTTTTGGATAATTCACTAAGAATTTAGGTTGGCTTTGTCGGCTGAATGAGTCCTTAGCGCCCCCTACAGGCAGGAAAGGACTGGGAAGAAGGGTGGATTGAGGTGCCCCACACCATTTTGAGTTTATAGGATTGTCAGGTCCCATATCACAGCCTGAAGGTCCTGGAAAGTGGCCAGGCAACAGCTAAGTAAAGATCGTGTGGATGCTGAAAATTCCCTGCTTCCAGGAGGGACCAGACCAGACTCCCCAAGTACCTTCCAGTCTGAATGCACTTCCCATTGTTTTGGCTCACTCCTGCATTTTACAGGCAGGAAGCCTGAAGTCCAGAGAGAATCATTCATTTGCCCAAGGTCCTCAGAAAGTTGGTCACAGAATGGAGACTAGAACCTTGGGGTCCAGACCTCCAAGTCCAGGGCCATCGACAAAGGCTGCCCCAGGAGTGACACCTTTCCAGGAAGAACAATTCTCTTTGTTCTGGTGTCTTCCTCTATTTCCCCCTCTAGAGGACCTACCTCCACTTCTCAAACACCCTGAGGCTGTCCCTGGAGCAAGGCCCTGGCTCTTATCACCATCCTGGCCCATCTCTTCCTACCTTTAAGATTTCCCTCCTCTCCTCCCCCCACAAAAAAGTTGCACTTGGATTAGGATAGCAGAGCTGAAGGTTTCTAGCTGTGTGAACCTAGGCAAGTCACATCACCTCTCTGAACGTGTTTCCTGTGTAAAATGGGGCAATAAAGTTTAGCTCCACTGGGGCTGTTGTGAGGATGAGCGCTAATGCATACAAATCCCTTAACAAGGCTTGATGCAGATCAAGTGCTCAATAAACTGTAATTATTATTATTTGTATTGTTGCTGTTATTTTAAAGTACCTAACTTAGTGCAAGAAGACAGCGGGTGTTCAAGAAAGATGATTATAACCATTAATATTCAAGAGTTTGAAGCACGGAGCCTGGCATTGAGCAGGAACTGAATACATAAACGGTGGTTAGTACTCTTGCTTTTTTCACCCAAAGGCTCCCAGTACGTTGGCAGTCCTGTCTTTTTTTTTTTTTTTATTGTTGACACTATTACAGATGTCCCCAATTCTCACCCCCGAACCCCCGCCCCCCTCTTTGTGATGTCTCTCTGGAGGAAAAGCTGCACCACTTATTTTTGCTCAGCAACAGGCTCCTCTTACGTAAACCGCCCTGGCCAGTGAGCAGGGAGATGGGCGGGGCTATCCGGCAGCCAATAGCAGCCCGAAGCGGCGCGCAGGACTGACCCTTGCCGGTTTCCAGGCGGTTAGAATAGCTAACCCCTGAGGCGGTTTTCGGGGGCGGGGATTGTCTCCAAATGCTCCTGGGTCTGCCTATCAACCAGGCTCTGATTGGTGCGGACCTTGGAGCCCCACCCCTTCGTTCTCCCGGCCCCGCCTTCGTGGGAGGGGGCCGGGACTACCCCGTCTGTTTTTTATTCCCCCCCCCTTTCTTTCTTTTTTTTTCATTTTTAATGAAATTTTGGTTATTACTTAGTTTTTCCCTTCCAAATTATGTGACATGTATTATTTAAGAAAGTTTGGGATATACAGAAAAGCATAAAAGTAAAAAAGAGATGACCCGAATAGTTTCACCTTTTGTTTTTTAATGTGTTCCAGGCTTTCTGACTTAAGCTAGTATTTCACTTGTTCGTCGCGCTATTGTAAAAGCGTAAAACTGGAAGCGACCAAAATGCCCATCAAAGGGGACTGGTTGAAGTAATAAACAGATTCGTCCTCACAATGAAACATCAGGCAGCACAGACACGGAGGGACGTAGCTCTACTGCTCTACGTGAAATGAAACTGTGTTCAGGATTTAATATTAGGTTAAAACAAAAAGCAAGTTGCACGATCATACATAGGGGATGGTTTCAAAAATATATATGTACATGACTATACAGAGGCAAGAAAAGTCTGGAATTAATGGGCAGTTTGCAACAAATTGTTAGCATCCAGTTACCTCTGGGCTGGAGGGCGATAGAGAAATTGTAAGACTTTTTATTCATTTCTATAATATTTTTTTTTTAATTGTTTTAATTGACTCTAGAGATAGAGAGGAAGAGAGAGAAATATCGATCTGTTGTTCCATCCATGGATGCATTTATTCTGTTTTGCTTTTTAAAAGAATATATATTTTTATTGAATTCAGAGAGGAAGGGAGAGAGAGAGATAGAAACATCAATGATGAGAGAGAATCATTGATTGGCTGCTTCCTGCATGCCCCCACACTGGTTATAAAAATCGAGCCTAGCCCTGGCCTGTTTGGCTCAGTGGATAGAGCATCGGCCTGTGGACTGAAGGGTCCCAGGTTCGATTCCGGTCAAGGGCATGTACTTTGGTTGCGGGCACATCCCCAGTA